ACGGACCTATATGCGCGCGAGGAGTTCGCGCCGTATGTGTCGGCGCGCGATGTATACGAGGCGGCCGCCATATTTCGCCGTGGCAACGACCCCAAGCCGCTCAAACCGAAGAAGGTGCGTAGTTTGGGTTGTCCATGCCCGAATTGGGCTCACAGGCAGATACTCTGTCGTGCTGTTTGACTGATCTTCGGCCCATCATGTGTACTCCTATTCGTGTGTGATGCTTGCGCAACAATTAGTCATTGAGCGATTTAAAGAAGGTGTGTAGTTTTTGCTGTCCTTGCCAGCATTGCACTGACAGGTATATATTCCATTAGAAGGTGGGGGGCCTGCTCAGACAGTCGGTGTGTAGTCTTTGTGGTCCTTGCCAGCATTTCACTGACAAGCAGATATTCCATTAGAAGTCTTCACCCAACCTCCAGCCGGAGGTGTGTAGTCTTTGCAGTCCTTGCCAGCATTGCACTGACAAGCAGATATTCCATTAGACGTCCGCACCTCCTCCCCCAGTGCCGGTGTGTAGTCTTTGTGGTCCTTGCCAGCATTTCATTGACAAGCAGATATTCCATTAGAAGTTTGCACCCAACGCCAGGCCGGGGGTGTGTAGTCTTTGCAGTCCTTGCCAGCATTGCACTGACAAGCAGATATTCCATTAGACGTCCGCACCTCCTCCCCCAGTGCCGGTGTGTAGTCTTTGTGGTCCTTGCCAGCATTTCACTGACAAGCAGATATTCCATTAGAAGTCTGCACGTCCTCCCCCAGTGCCGGTGTGTAGTCTGTGTGGTCCTTGCCAGCATTGCACTGACAAGCAGATATTCCATTAGGCGCTCCCAAATACCAACGTCCGAAAGGGCGGGGTCGACAAGGCGTGGTTGGCAAATTATGGTGAGTACCTCAGGGGTGGCGCTAAAGGAACGCCTCCGTCGAGCCATCCATTCGTTCCTCCGTCGCAGCCGGCGGGGCAGGAGGATAGGAAGTCACCGTCACCCGAGCCAAACCCGTATCGGATCAACCTGCGAGCGTTGCTTGAGGAGCTTGACTGATTAGGTACTCCGAGTGGGCTGAAGAGCGCAGGTGGGCAAGAGTAGTAGATGTGTATTTCGTTCAGAGCCAATGAACGAAAAATGTGTGTGTCCGTGGGCTCATTAAACATTTGAATGGCAGAGCAGGAAACTAGAAACTCAAGGTAAAGTTTTCGAATCACTAGCATACTCTTGGTTACATCGTGGGTGAGCAACTAAAGCGAGGGCAATATGGAGGGCATCTTGATCATCTTCCTTGCAGTGCATACTTTGAACAAGTCAGGCCGAAGGCCTCGACCGGCATGTCATCCCGAGCTGCATTGTTCGGAGACCTCAAGTACAAGATACTTGTGATCGGTTTATGGCAGCGGTTGAGTTGAACCATCTAAAGTGTCTACATACAATCTTGGACGGATGATACGTAGACGGTACGTACTACATTATATGGATGGAAACAGGGACAGACGCGGCATGACTTGGCTGTTGTTGGCCGAGTATAGAGACCTCGAACACCTGTCCTGCTGGATCATAGATCGGTTCGCAGTTCACCTGGTGGTTTGCCCTGCGGGAAGGAGTCGACCCCAGTACAAGGAATGGGTTGATCGCGCACTTGATGAGTGGCAAAGTGCGCAGCTCTTTGTCGTAGTATACATTGTTTACTATGGAGCGAATAGCATCACAAGCCGAGAGTAGTACAGTGTATGTACAGCGAGGAAACAAGATAGAATGCTGCCGCGGTGCCATCAAGTTAGAGCGCATAACAAGGAATACGGAGGCGATGTCAGAGCATGGTATGCTCATTGTTGATACCGTCAAATGAAGTTGATGATGCGGATATGGGGGAACAGGAGAGCACAGGCGGAGGCAGAATCTCGGCGCAGCAACTGCCATCACTGTGCACGCGCGTCACTCGGGGTGTGCATCATCCGTTCGCGTTCCCTCCCATGTACGAGGGAAGGAACGCGTTGCCGAGATCTTTGATCATTGCAAAGATCGTCTCCGGGGAGTGCGGGTGCTGTGCAACGCTGGCGAATGGCTGCACGGGGAGTGCGGATGGCTGTGGTTGCTGCTTGTTGTGCACGGAGGAGGGCGGGGTGGACGAGGACGCCGCGGGCGTGGAGTCCTGTCTTAGGGAAGGGACGACGGCAGGAGGGGCGAGCAGGTGGCTAGGGGCGACGGGGGCAGACGGCCGCGGCAGCGGCGCAGCATCGAGGTCCGTCACCCCCATACATACACACGGCGCGCCCCGCAGGTGACCACGGACCTCCTGTGCACATCGCACCCAGACATCAAGGCGATCTACAGCGACGCAGACAACACCGTCATCTGCGACATCTTGCTCTCGCGCACGCTCTTCGATGCTGCAGCGGGCCTGCTCTTACCCGCGATGGTCGTGTACTCGTGGCGCCTCTTCGCGCGGGCGCCGCTGCAGGGCACGCTCGTGTGCTCAACGGCGTCCGCGGTGCCCATGCTAGCGGTCACACTCGGGTTGGCGCAGACATGGGACAATCCGGCAGAGGGTGCAAGGGTGCGTGAAAAGTCCATCTGCACATGTCCTGGCCTTTTGCCTATAGAGTTAACTAAGCAAAGATACACAGAAAATCTCACAGGAAAGAAGTCCATTGTGAGCAATCCTTCATCATCGGAATCGGTTGAACATGCGGGCCGGGCCCTCTCCCAAGCCTCTTTCCTAACTCATTTGTCTCCAACCCACCTCCTGTGGACTCCCCAGTGCTAGCTTGATGTGATGTGCCAAAGATTTTTCCAGTTGCTCTGCCTGCTAGAAGCAGTAGCTCTAGCTCTTGTACTTGGTACTCACTGTGTTTCGTGTCGACTCTGCTTGCTGCTGTGCTTCATATCAAGTGTTAATACCATCCCATACTGCTGCAAGTCCCAGGTCGCAAATGTATTTACAATATATCAGCTAACAATACATGAAATACCCCTGCTTTCGACAGCTAAAATATATATGGTAAACATTTCACTCCATTTGTCACCATTACCATGAGATGGCCCGTACATGTAGAGTGCTGACGAACCACTTACCGAACGGGTCACATCGAGACGAGTACCGTATACCGGGCCCGCGCAACTGCCCTTGCTCCGGGATCCTGGAAGACAGGGAACACGCGCTGTTTGATTGCCCGTTATGGGTACGCCACAAAGAGGGACTGGTGCAGAATGGCATTACACACCCGAAGACGTGAGACAGGCTCAGGTGCGTCGACAACGAGGCTGGTCGGAAGACGATATTCGCGTTGTCCTGCGCCTCAACCCTATGGTGGCTACATTTGAGTGGGCGGAGACCCTCGCCCAGGCGGCCACGGATCGAGAGGCGGGAGACTAGTCGTAGGTAGCCAACGTATTTCTTTATGCTCACGCCCTCAGTCTGTATAGGGTCAGTGTGTTCCGTGAATATTGGAGGGAGCGATGCTTTGTCCCGGAGAAAACGATCCCAGGAACCCCCGGCTACCGAGAGTTCCAGGCTCATTATAATACCAACAAAGTTACCGTACAGATCATGAGGGCGCGGGGGATCGACCCCGAACGTTATTCTGCACCAGCGTTCGTAGGAAACGCTGAAGACCAGACACCAATCTTACTCCCTTAGTGACGACGACGGTTAGGGTCCGACGGCGAGGAGTGCATACCGCTCCGGCGATGTTTAGGTAGCTACAGTCCGCACACTCTGCATGTATCTCTAGGTACGGTGTATAAACTAGTTGTTCAAAAAGAAAAAAAGATCTTCGGCTTTATCATCAAGTTCGATCGCGAGCGGCTTGGCCTCATTGATCAAGGAGATGTCTGCGGGAGTTTGAAACGCGTTTGAAACTCGTGCAACGGAACATGCATTGTAGACAG